TTCTCTCCTTCTCCTATCAAGTTTGTCAAGATCATGATTGATGACATTTATCTTGGAGATGCTATTCAGGTGTCTGGACCTCTCTATGTCTTGAAATGGTCCCCCCAAAATTACAGTCAAGGATTTCATCAGATAGCTGTGACTGTCGAGGTGAGTTCTCTGCTACTGTTCATCATTCTATCATATATTTACTGAAAAACGCATTTGGCAGAATCTCTGCTTATCCATGATTATTCAGTAGGTAATCTTGGGGATATTACTGCCTCCCAGCCTCTCTAAGCAGGAGCAGTACGCATAGCATAAGGATAGGTATGTTTCAACAACATGGTATCTGTAGACACCGATGTATCCACAGGTGCCTCTAAACACCCATCAGGCTCCATAGTCAACTTCATTTTTTAAAAATTATTTTAATATGAAAAATGAAAAGGGAATCTAGCATGCTGCAGAGCACTCACCTCAAGTATAATACTTCATTTCCAAAATAAAAACTTCCCCAATATATTGCAGAGTTTTCTCAGAGGTCTGGCTATTGCACAAAAGGAGGAGGAAGGAGGAGGAGGGGAGAGGAGAAGGAGATTCATGTAGGAAGATGACGGTAGCCTCTCACTAGCAATAGCACTTAGACTTATATAGCACTTCATAGTGCTTTACAGCCACTCTGAGCCGTTTACAGAGTCAGCATATTGCCCCCAACAATCTGGATCCTCCTTTTACCGACCTCGGAAGGATGGATGCCCGAGTTAACCTTGAGCCAGTCAGGATCGAACGCCAGGCAGTGGGCAGAGTTAGCCAACAATAACTGCATTCTAACCACAGTGCCACCACGGCTGCTTCTGGTAAATGGATATTTACTGACTGGGCAAGCCCACCTTAGCAGGCATTTTATAACAATACCTTCAATGTGCTTTCAAATGATTCTACTACCCAAAACAGTTGGGGAACCTGCCGTTCTGGAAAAGAATGAGGAAGAAAATCTAAACGACTGGCTTTGTCTCAATTACTTGGCAGCACAGTTAAACAGTGAAACAAAGAATGGGTCAGCCATTCAACGATATGACCAAAATTAAATGGTGTACAGTAAGGACTGCTAGAAAGTATTTAAGTAGCAAATAATGAAGAACCTTAAATATGCAAGTCTGCCGTTAGAATATACCATAGTTGTTAAACTGGACATTTTATTCATAGTTATTAGTTGCTTTCCTATTATACCACATTGCATCATAGAACAGAAGTGCCCAAATTGAATGGAGGCATGTAGAAATTTGGGGGTGGTGTCAATAGGGAATTAAAAAAATAATAATAGTGCAGACAATCCAGTCGCTTTCAAAGGAAGTAAGGTAGGCAGGTTATTGGAAGAGAGGGAGGTGCTGAAAGGATTGGCAGGTGTGTCATAGGAACATCAGGGACTGTATGAGCTTATGGGAATAAGAGAAGGCACTGCTAGAATTGGAGCTCAGTGGGTTAATGGTTTGATTAACAGCAGATCTATAGGAGGATGAGGACTGGAAACCTGATTTGCGCAACAGGGCAGATTGATTTAACAGAAATCTTCCCTTTGGGTGGGGAGCTGGGGGAGGAGCTAAAAAAATAAAAAAATGAACATAATACTGAAAAGTTTAGTAATCCTTGTTTTGGTCCTGTTTTTAGGATGCCAGTGGTAGAAGTGGCACTCAGCTTCATACATTTGCTATGCAGGAAAATCTTTCTCTTAAATTTGGTCTTTTGGCATCTTGGCTTCTTCTTAGTGATCATTATATATGGGTAAGCTTTCAGATAAGGAGATGAACAATAGACGGATGGATGGATATATGGATATACAGGTAGTCATCGCCTTACAACCATTTGTTTGCTGACTTTCGAAAGCTACCACAGCATTGACAAAAGTGACTAACAGCTGGTCCTCACCCTCACCCTTGTTGAAGCATCCCATGGTCATGTGATCAAAATCCAGGCACTTGGCAACCTGCATGCGCTTATGTTGGTTGCAGCCTTCTGGAGTCACGTGATTTTTGCATGACTCACTTAACGATGACAGTGATTTGCTTAATAACTGTGACAAAACAGGTCATGAAATCGGGCACAACTCAACCATCTTGCTTAGCAATAGAAATTCGAGTCCTAATGGTCGCCTTAAGTCGAGGACTACCTTATACAGACATTATTAATGAACTTTCGAGTTGTGAATTTTTGCTGATACAAACTGATCTGTCTGTACCCGGAAGTCGGGAAAAGATGGGCAGGTTTGCTTGTATTGGCAAAATATATATATGGTGTGCTGGAAACAAGCTTCCTCTCATCTTCTCCTACCCTGGGACCCTCTAGGGTGGAGTTGTGGTCAGGCACAGTGCAGATCTCACCCCACATAAGTAGCGGCATTGCAGCAAAACCTGATGGATCCAGTGAATCCTGAGCGGCAGTGGGAGAAAGTGGGAAAGGAAGTTGGGAGAAGACAGGTGTAATGGGGTTTATTTATTTGTCAAATTTATTGGCCTCCCATCTTACCTCAAGGTAACTCTGGGAGGCTTACAATCATAAAAGATACAAAATACATAAATTAAAAATATAAGTAAGTTAGTACAAAAAGTCAAATACTACAGTGCAGTTAAAAGATGAGGGCGGGAGTAGGATGGGAGAGGAGTAGGATCTGTTGTTAATTGATCAGTCACCTCCACTGTGCTGATGCCCCATTGGAGCCCCAAGCTAACTGGCAGAGCCACGTCTTTAGGCTCTTAGGAAAAGTCACATTGAGGGGCAAGATGTTCCAGAGGACAGGTGCAACGGCAGAGAAGGCCCTTTTCCGGGTCCCCACCAGCTGGAATACTTGGGCCGACGGGGCCTGTAGCATGGCTCCTCTGCCAGCACAGGTGGGGTGGGCCCATTCCAGTGGGCTGAGATTCCTCAAGTAGCCTGGACCCATTCCATGAAGGGCTTTAAAAGTGATCACCAACACCTTGAATTGCACCCGGAACCAGACAGGCATGCATGGAAACCGTTCTTTATTACTTATTGTATAAAAACTTACTTATTGTACACCATCCAGAGTCACCTTATTTAAGATGGGCAGCCATATAAATCTATACATTTAATAAATAAATGATAGATAGATGATGGATGGATGGATGGATGGATGATTATTACCACTCGTAGAAAATATGGTGGCTTGTGCTGTGATGGTTGTATCCTTGTATATTTGGGTGATCCTATTACTTTTGGAGCTGCACTAGCTGCTGATTGGCTTCTGTATGCAACCCAAGGTGTTGGTTGTGACTTGTAAAGCCCTGCGTTGCTCTGCAACAAGTTATCAAAAAGCCTGCCTTCTATGGGATCATCAGTGGTCTCTGAGTTTCATTGTTTATTTGCAGAGATTTCATTACCCAGCTAGGTAACACCATCGATGCAAGTGAGTATGGGGTTTGCTCTCGGTTTAGATTCAGTGGTCTGCCCTGCCATTTTTGGCAGTGGTTTTCTTGGTAGTTTCTTGATTAGGGTATTGTTTTCTATTTATAGTATCTGGGTGTTGGCAGCTGGAGAGGTTGTACTCTGGTCTTTTTGTTTCCTTCCTAACTTTTTTATTGTCTCTAGGAAATTCTTTGTGGTACAGGAGAGAAGTAGCTTCTGTTCACATATTTCTTAATAATTGAGAAAGTTAGTTAATAGTAGCTGACGTTTTTATTTTTCATTTTCAAAATATATCATACTGCTTTTGACTTTTTTTTTTCAGGTACGCATACTCTTTGTGTTAATAGTTATATTTCAAGTTGTTTTGCTGATTATTTTCCGGTTTCGAGAAAAACCTAAATTTAAAGGTAAGAACAATTATGCTGATACTTTTTCCTTTCATCCCCTCCCCATTTAATTTTTTTCTTTCAGAATTAATGGAATGTTGAAAGGAAATTATGGGAAAGGGTCTCAGTTCTCTCCTTATTGTCCAGAATAAGTCTCTGAAGACTGAACATAAAGTTGCTATCATTGGAAAAACCAACAAAAGAAAGATTTAGCTCAATAACAGGCCAGATTCAATTGGCGGCTGCAGAGAAAAATATTACAGAAAAAAAATTCACAGTGCCTCCTACTGAGAGAGATAGTTGGGCAGTGACTGAGATTATTGCAGTTTAAGTCTTGTCTGTCCCCCCCCCCCAGCTCCCCTGGTCATTTGTCTCAGAGTGGAGAGTATGCAGCCTGCCCTACACACAGGGCAACATGCACACACACATAGAAGAAGTCCTGGCAGAGAGCAGAACATACTACTTTGTTACATAGAAAAAAAACATAGACCCTTCTGTATTTGGCCACTGCTGATAAAGAATTCTGGAAGCCATGCCCAGTGTACTTATCCTACTATGTTTTTATATATGAATGGAATGCTTTAAACAACATTCCAAGTGAATTTCTATTTGAAACTCTCATGTGGTCTTAGCTATCATTGAGGATCTTTTAATTTGCCTAGAGCCGATTATAATATCAGTTATTAGATTATCTTTATTGTAAGTTTTTTACTGTGGGCACATTGGTACACGTTAAAAATGAAATTTTGTTGCTTGCCCTCAAAAGTGTACACAAACATAACACACATTTGAACATGGTATATACAACATATCTATAAACCTACATCCTTACATATAAATAACGTATAAATATTAATCATCTTGAATACATAGTGGAAAGAGGAAGCTTTAGAGTTCACAAGGTTAATACTGTATGGAACAAAACTGACTGAATCTGGATGTTCTGCTTCGGATGTTGGCAGTAACATTGGTGTACACAGTTGAAATGAAACTGTTTTTTTTTTTAATTGTCCCATGCCTATGTCAGTCCCCACATTGCCCCAAATATGAAAATTGATATTGATTATCAGCTGTACTCAGCTAGCCTCCTTTGTACTTCCAGTATTTTGCTTTTGCAAAATTTGGGCAACATGATGGTGGGACAAACATCAGCAGGTCAGTTGTGATTATTTCATAGCAACAATATTCTCTCATACGGTCAGGTTTTCTAACAAGAATATTTTTAGAAATATTCTAAAAATTTGAGTTGGGCTAGCTTTTAATCACATAAAGTAGCTAATAGATTCCAGTATCAGAATAAAAGTTCATTTTTAAACATTAGGATTTCTCTTATTTTTGTTTGTGATAGGTTTTTGATAGTCACATATACATATTTAAAAACCTAAGGGGTGGTTGGGTGGGTTGTATTGTACATCTTGAATTGATTTGGACAAATATATTTAGGACATTTTATTTTATTATTGTAGTTTGTTAGATGTCTCTATACCTTTCCTGTAGGAGTTCAAAGCAATGTATGCTGCACTCCTATAATTTTTCTGCACAACAATAACCTTTCAGGTTAACTAAATTGAGAGTGATTGCTCCAAAAATCACTTGAATAAATTTTGTGGCTAAGAGTGGACTTGAACCAGGTTGTCTCCAGTTCTAGTCCAATACTGTGCCTTCTCTAGAACAAGTGGAAGACTGGTTCTAATCCAGCTTCTCAGTAGCTGTTGATGATGTATCACTTTCTAAAAATGTGACCTGGTATGTTTTCAGCAGTAGCGAGCAATAATTTTGACCTGAGATTATATTCCTGTTTCAGAACCTCCAGGGGTGGCAGTACGAGCCTCTTTTTCTCTTCATGTCCTCAGCAAAACAGATTTATTTTTCTACTCGTTTTTGGTGCTAAATCTATATACCATTCTAGGTAAGTGCGAAGAATGAGGAAAAGTATTTTACTAATTTCTAAAGACTTTATGTCAAAACTTTTTAATAGGGTTCTAAATGAAAAAATAATGAATTCTTACAATGTAACAATGGCACTTTTTTCGGTGCCATTGTAACCTCGAACTGTCACAAAAAGAACCATTGTAAGTTGAGGACTACCTGTAGAGTATGTATAATTGTTTTCCTGACTGCGGGATAGAAATAGTTTGCTCTTGCCCTTTTCCAGGATAGTTTTTCAGCTTCTCAGTCTAGCATATAGTCCTGTAATTTTCTGAAAACCCTCCATTCAAGAACTAACCAGACTTGCTCTATATGTTTAGCTGATACATATGAGATGATTTCTTAGGCATTTACGTACCAAGAAGAAGAAAAAATTGGTGAGCTTTGTATGCAGTGGCTCACCAAGAACGATTCCTGGGCATTATTGAGAAGCATACAGAGGTAGTCCTATATTTATGACTATTAATTTAATGACCATCTGAAAATACGACAATGCTAAAAAGTGATTTATGACTGGTCCTCCCACGTACAATCATTGCAGCTTCCCTGCAGTGGCTTGATTTATTTAATGACTATAGTGATCTGCTTAACTGCCATATCAACAAATTCATAAAATTGCACAGAACTCACTTAACAACCATATTGCTTAGTGACAGAATTTCTGGTTACAATTGTAGTCATAAATTGAGGATGACCTCTAGTCAGGCCTCCAATTGATTAAAAAAAGCAGCATCCCTGCTCAAAACTAAGATGTTTCTGATAATTTTGCTCAAGTGTTCACTCTCTATATTTTCCAATATTACTGTTTGCTGCTTATGATGCAGCTTGTAATGCATCTTTTTGATTGATTTGGCCACTGAGTCCATGACAGAAGTGATGGCCAAACCCACATTTCTCAATCACATCTACTTATTGGAACATAGCATCATTTTAACAAAATGCCTATTTTGAGAGTAAAAGTTATATTTTAAAGTATTTGTACTTTGATTTCTTTTATGAAAGGCAAAGAATAAGATATAAAAAAATTAGAATCCTTTGTTTAATTTAAAAAATCTTAAGTCACTAAATTCACACATTACAATAATCCATAATGTGGTTTGTTTGATTCTGATTTAACCTGTTGAACAAACCATTCCCATTGGGGTTTAAAAACCATAGTTTATGGTATTGTGACCAAGGCATCTTTTGATATGTGAATTAATTAACTGAATAAATTATACTGATCAAATGGTATTATTTACAGGAGTTTGTTACATACGTGGATTTTTTTGCCCTACTGTTTATTAGCAAGGATTTGAAACTGGAAAAATATTTATTTAATGCTGTGGATGTGCTTAATATAATACCATTTTCCCCCTATCAGGACCCTGGTTTGTTGGTGAGCTTATAGAGGGCCATGTGGGCATCTGCTTTTCCTTTGGATTAATTGTTAATGGCCATTTCTTTGAAGGCAGCTCAACCTTCCTTGTTGGAATTTTACAGGTAAGACTCTTAATATAGTTTTTGATAATGATGTTCTATCTGACCCTTTTTCAAATAATTAAATATGTTATAAGGTTAAAAAAAATATGAGACAGCATTGCTTGTTAATATAACTATAATAAGCTTCCAGGGGTACATTTAGTAAACTATTCAGAACAAATTTAAATGTCCATGTAATTGTTAATTCCATAGCATAATGTTGAAAGTAGGTATGTATTTGTTTATGTCTCCCTTCCTCTCCTACCTTTTGACAATAAGATTCCCATGGCACTTATTTATTATAACAATTTATTTATTTACAAAAAAATCGCACAAAAACCATAGTGACAAACAAAAGAACTGAGACCTATATTACAAATAATTGTAGCGTGACTGAAATAAGCCAAGTAGTTTGACAATTCACTAATAGTTAAAAAGAGGGAGCCAATAAGCCTACCAAGGAAGCCACTGCAGTAAGCCTTGCTACATCTGTCAGACCCTTTCCTGTGTCCCTGCTAACCCACTTGTGAATGCAAATGACAGTCCTGTTTTAGTAAAAGGCAGGGCAAGTGTAAGCCAAGTGTACTACAGAGGAGGGGAAAGACAGCTTTGTCATGGGGGCAGGATAAATGGGAAATGGCAACCATTTGGGGCCCCACACCTCTCCAGGCTGTGCTTCTTGTAATCCTGAAAAAAGAAACATTCTTTCAAATAATTTCGCCCCAGTCCTCATAGGATTTTATAGATAATCTCCTGCATTTCAAGACCTATCCACAGATCAATCACTGAAGGTCATGTAAGACAATAAATAATGTGAAACGGGCCTGATTGTTGCAGCTTTACACAAGATGAAATTTTGAATATTTGTCAGAGCAGTTCCACAGAGAGCACTTTATGGACATCTACCTGAATAGGTAGATTTGCTTGAGGCCTGATCTGCTTTTTCCATTATCTCATTAATATGTAGATCTGTTGATGCTCAGAAGTTCTATTTTGAAACTGTATTTCTATATATTAAGCCACCTTTCTGTATTTTCCCACTGGAGAAACCTTTTGTAATTGTAGTTTTTACTTGACTTGAAGACAGCCATAACCTCATTGCTTCAATTGTTTAAAAGTTAATTGTAGAGAAATCCTTGATGTTCTCTGGCCTTGGTTGTTTTCTTGCAGACATTTTATTATTCAAACAAACATCATAACAAGATGTTACCTAGTTTGGATAATGAAACGTCTGCAAGAAAACAACCAAGCTCAGACAGCACCAAGGACCCCTCATTTCAACCCCAAGTTACAAATATTCTCCTTTATTAGTAGATCATTTTGTTTACAAACTCGTTAACTTTAAGATGTCAGGACTTCAACTCCCAGAATTCAAGTGCGCAGCCTCACATCTTAAAGTAGCCAAGTTTGAAAAACACTGATGTAGACTAGTTTGTCTTGGGCCCATAGCACCCTCTATATGTTTGTAGTGATCAACAGAACTTCCTGCTGAGAAATATGAATTAGTTTCTCTTTCACAAGCATTTTTCTTTAATTCCCCATTTGACAATAAATTTATCAATTCTTTTTTAATATGTGATCAATGATTTTCAGAGTGCTTTAATTCCACAACTGTTCTCCCACTCAAGTGGGTAACATATATTGTTTCTTAATATGTGAGGGTGTAATTTTTAAAATGTTGATGCTTTTCAGCTTATTGTAAGATTCTGAGGTTCATAGTGTACAAAACTGAAAGATAAAATTTAGGTAGGGCAATGTTTTAAGTGTTCCAGGAAGAAAGTGGCTATTTTGAATTTTCATATGGACAGGAACAATTTCTAACTGTTGTCACATTTGCTAGTTTTCTTAGTTACCAGCTTAGTTACGAACTTAGTTATTATAGCTGGATGAAACCTAGCTATAAGAGGCTGAGATCTTGTCAGCCATGCAAGAAAGACCAGACAGGGAACATGGCCAGATGAGTTAATTCTACTTTATTTTAAAGTTACAGCCTGTCGTTCCTACATACTGTTATGACCCGGGGCGGGGCATGTAAGCAACACCG